TTTTATATTCGCACATTTTTCTGGAGTTTTGTTAATTTGCTGTAAAAGTTTATTAACAAATTCACTTACTGTTCTTATATTAGAACGAAATCATAAACCAGTCATATAATAATTGAATTAATTATTCTGTTTGTAGAAGCATTAATATTAATTAATAAATATATAAAATATTTTATCAAAATATTATTTATGAATAATGTTTAATATTTATTTAAAAATCTTCGTACTTTTCCTCGCCTTTCTACCACTACTTCAATATTTTACATAAAGCATACTAGAAACTTATGCCATTTTTGATTGGTAAATCTGGGGTAACTTTTTCAATCGAGATTCATTTTTAGTGCAATTTTCATTTTCGATTGGTAAATCTCGAGTATAACACTCGGGATTAAATTATAACACTCTCTAAATTTTGCCAGTGTAGCAAGATTAATCTGAAATAAACAACCGTTTTAAAATTTCAATGGCAGCACAAAATCTTAATATCATCAATTATAGTTAAAGTAAACAAATTAAAACGGATCTGTAATAAGAACTTCAAGCCTTAGCACTCAGCCCTTAGTCCTGAATCAATGACTATGCTTAAGTAAAGAATTTCTATATCTTGTCGCAATTGTATGTTGCGTTGAAACATTAAACATTTTCTTATTAGTAAAATATTATTTTATTATTTTTATATAATTCTGCGTAGGTATCCCAAAACAGTAGATACAAACAAACAATGATTTTGGATTATTGTTGATGGCCTATAAATATGAAGAACAACTTTGTTGTATAACACATGATTTGAATAATTTTACAAGACTCAAAGGTGATAATGCCTATGCGCACTCGCGCTCTCTGTATATGCTGCTATCTCCTTAGTTTATATCGAGGATTAAGTGATGCCAGTGGATTTGATATATGTATTTATAAAAAGAATACTAGATAATCCGACAAACGTTGTTTTGCCTTATAAATTATTTCTAGTTTCTAGATAAATTCTAGTGTAGACAAAAAGTAACTTACTTATTATAAGTGTGTAAGTATGTGGTATATGCATGAAATAGGCATGGAGCGCTATGAACGAAAAGGAAAATAAAAATAAACGCCAAACAATATTATTTTTAAGTTATTATAGTTCATTTATTAAATTATTAATTTAAAATCAATAAATTTGTATGATACCAAGTTCCCTGGCAACAACTGTTGTATCTTCAAATTTAAATTGTCTTGGATTGACTGTAAATAATAATAATGATAATTGGCCAGTAACATTAACCAACAACAGTCGAAGATAAAAGCACTCAGTGTGTCTTGGATTAACTATAAATAAGCGTTCGATTTAAATAAATTGAGACATGCATAAACTGGTGAAACTTGCTTGCGGGGCATCCATTTTTTTTTGAGCCCATGTGAAATAGCGTGGTACTTGTGAATAGAGTAATGTTCTTGCAAAGGCACCAAAATCATCCGTACTATTACACAATTAAAAAAATGCAATGAGTGTAGATTTAGGTGGATTTGTACCACGATCAATCACTGTCTCGTTCGTGAAAAAAATACGCTGACCGTTTTCAAGATGAACGGCTACCTGAACAGCTGCTGGATCCCGTTCATGAATTAGAAAACCGAAGATACGCCAAGCAGCTTCATTGGAGCTGATGTACCGACCAATTTGGTAGAGCGTAATTTCACCGTTTTTGTTCATTGGAGGAGCATTTATATTAGTATTTTCTACTCTAAACACAGCCATATCACTGCCTTTATGGACATACTTATATATTTGATGCTCTTCACAGAACTGCAAAACTCAACATTAATAATGAGCATTGTATGTTTAGCTTAGCAGAGGCGAATACGGCACCACCCGCCATTGTCCCCCATTATCGGGATTTCTTCGACGATATATTGGATATCCGTCGGTATTTGTTATAGTATCATTAGTGAAAGCTTTAGATTTCAATTTTTAGTACATTTTCCATCTGCCATGCAAGGCGAAGACGAAGAACGAAGTGTATGTAAATGCTCGATGTACTTGTTGGCGTAGTTACATAAAATATTAAGAAAAAAATTTTTCTTTTTCAAAAATATAAACAAAATTTATGTCAAAAATAAAAAAATTTTTTGTTAAAGCAATAAGGATATTTTTGCTAGGTTGGGA